TTGTCCTCGCTTGTGCTTTCCTGGGTCTGTTTTTCCCTGCCCTTCCTTGTTGTTTTCTTTCTGTTCTGGGGTGAGTAAGACGATTAGCGTGCTTTCCAGGTTATTGATTTCCCAATCTGGTAGTCCCTGCTTCTCTTCTCTTATTCCTGTTACTGGCACTTGGCCGAGGAGTTTTCGGATTTCTGGCCGACGTTCCTTGCCTTTTCCGGTTGACACCTATTTCTCTCCGTTCACCTGTTGTTTATCTTGCCCTGGTTGCTCAACCGCCTACTGTCGCAGAATCCAGAGCTGACGAGAACCGCAAATAGGCACAGGAAAAGACCTCGTTCGACCGTTTTAGCCGTTCATTATCCGCGCACTTCCTTCTTGTCGTTCCTCTCGGAAAGGTATGCGGAGAAACGGGATTAAGCAATCCTGGTGCGGCGTTTATATCTGTAATTGCACGTTCAATCAGTTGGAGAACGTGGAGATATTGCTACCCGCGTAGGGATCAGAAAAAACAACTATACTTACACGGGGAAGCGCTGAGAAATTATGGCGTGGGATCATTTGGACATCGATAAGCCTCACCTGGCGTACATGATCCTCGGTGGCTTCACCGGGCTGTTCATGCTTTGCTCCCTCTTCGTCAAGGAGAAACTGTACATTGGTGAAGCAACTGTGGCCACGCTGTGTGGTATCATCTTTGGCCCTCATGCCGCCAATCTGTTCAACCCCGCCGAATGGGGCAACGTCGACAAAATTACCCTCGAATGTTCGCGCATCGTACTCGTCGTCCAGTGTTTCGCCGTCGGTGTCGAGTTGCCCAAAGCGTACATGGAACGTCATTGGAAATCTGTCTGTCTCTTGCTTGTTCCCGTGATGACTTTTGGCTGGTTGATCACTAGTCTCTTCATTTGGTGGATGGTGCCTCCTCTCAACTGGCTGGAAAGTCTTGTATGCGCTGCTTGCGTGACAGCTACCGATCCCGTCTTGGCCTCTTCGGTTGTCGGTAAGGGTAAATTCGCCAAGCGAGTCCCCAAACATCTGCGAGATCTTTTGTCCGCCGAGTCAGGCTGCAACGACGGCATGGCCTTCCCGTTCATCTATCTCGCGTTCTATATCCTGCGCTATCGCCCCGATGCAGGGAAGGTGTCGCTCAATTGGTTCTGCGTGACGATTCTCTATGAGTGTATCTTTGGCGCAATCTATGGTTTCGCCATCGGATATATTGCTCGCCATGCCATCAAGTTCGCCGAGCGCAAGCAGTTGATCGATCGCGAGAGCTTCCTGGTCTTCTATTTCGTCCTGGCCGTGTTCTGCGCCGGCTCCGGAAGTTTGCTGGGCATGGATGATCTTCTGATAGGCTTTGCTTGCGGCGTTGGCTTCAGCAACGATGGCTGGTTCACTGAAAAGACCGAGGAGTCTCACGTATCCAACGTCATTGACTTGCTTCTCAATCTGGCGTACTTTGTCTATTTCGGGTCTATTATCCCCTGGGAGGACTACAACAACCCGGATATCGGCCTCGTGCCCTGGAGGCTCGTAGTCATCGCAATTCTGGTCATCTTCTTCCGCCGGATTCCGATCATGATGATATTGAAACCAATCATACCGGACGTGAAAACATGGCGTGAGGCTCTTTTCGCAGGCCACTTTGGACCCATCGGTGTCGGTGCCATCTTCGCTGCAATTCTAACCAGGGCTGAGCTCGAAAATGATAGCACTCAGCCGTTGGCTGAGTCGCAACTGCCCAAGCCCGGGTCCCCCGACTATTATATAGTGCAGCTGATCTGGCCTATCACCACGTTTATGGTCATCTCATCCATTTTGGTGCACGGTTCGTCGATTGCCGTCTTTACCCTTGGAAAGCGTATCAATACCTTGACCATCACGCTGTCGTACACGACGGCCAATGAAGAGGGTCCGTCTTGGATGAACCGGCTGCCTCGCGTACAGTCGTTGGCCAAAGGGTCAATGTCATTCCGCAAGACCGATGCAGACGAGTTGGGTGATTCGTCCACTGAGCCGGAATTCCCTCCTGGAACTCTTCCACCTATTGGCGTTCCTGGTAACTTTTTGCGACGAGTTCGTGAGGAAGAATCCGAGACACCCACCGGTCGACCTCCTAGTCGCAAGCCTCGAAGACGTCGTAGGCGGGATGATGGAGCTGGAGGTCCGATCAGCCAGTCAGCCATTATGCCTCAAAGGTCGCCCGAGGCTGGTGAGGAGACTGAGAAATCAAAGGAGGAAGCCGAGGAGCGGGAGAAGATTGAACGGAGCGGATCGCCACCGACCCATGAGCGTGATCGGTTTGGCCGAGAACCTGTCTTAGAGGTGTACCTGGAAGGCCATACGATGGTCATCGAAGACATAGAAGGCAATGTCCTGAAGACAGAAGATATTAGTCATAAATCACCGGAGGAACGGCAGCAGCACATTGAAGAACAAAGGCTGCGGCTGCAGAAGGATAAGTCGGGCGAACTGTCCAAATCCCGAAGCCAGCCACATGAGAAGACTGAAGGAGAAGAAATCCAACATGCAGTGGGAGCTGCGGCCGGGCCCCCGCTAGAAAAAGCTCGCAAGCAGTTCGGCAAATGGGTCGGTTGGGGCAAAGGCCGCGGCGAGCAAGCGGAAAGCAAGGAGGCGAAGAAAGCTGCGGAGAAGAAATCGACCGAAGAATCTGGCAAGCAGGCCAAGGGCAAAGCTCGGTCGGCTCACGCGTATCAATTCGGCAACACCATTATTGTCGAAGATGAGGATGGTGAGGTCATCAAGAAGTACTCGATTCCGGCCACTGGCAAGCCCGAAACTGGAGCCCCTGGCCGTCGCGGCCTGGGACGAATGGGAACCTGGTTTGCCAGAGACGGTGAGGCGGAGACCTCGCAAGCTGCACAGAGCAGAAAGGCGGCCGAGGACGAGTGGCTAGCGGACGATGGACTGCGGTTCACCCTCGCCAACGACGACGATGTTGCCAAGCGAGGTGTCGGTCACAAGGGTCGCCGCATGACGAAACACGAGTTCGCCGAGCAGATAAAGAATCTGGACCCTAAGGCTCGTCGCCAGTTGGTCGAGGAGACTGACGTTCCCGAGCGTGTGAAGAATGTGGCTCGGGACGAGGCCGAGCAGCGAGAATCTCTCCCAGCACAACCTGTTGAAGTGCCGGTATCGCCTGGGACCCAGATAGAATCTCGCGGCATCGAACAGTTCGACTCTGACAGCGAGACCACCGAGGACGAATCGGAACAGGACATTCCAGGGCCTGACGTCGCTGCTTCGCTGGCCAGAGTGACTCAAGGCTCGGCTGCACAGGAGCGACGCAGTCACCTGGAGCCGTCCGACGCGCCTTCCAGGCCTCATCCGCGTTCGCGAAGAGACTCCGACGACGACGGTACCGAGCGTATCCCACCAGCTCGCCTCCGAGAAGCAGCCGGTCTTGCGCGTCCCCCGCGGGAAGCCGACTTGGACGACACGGGTGAAACACCTGCAGAGCGTCGTCGTCGTCTGGCGGCCTTGGGAGAATTGCACAACGACTCGGACTCTGATGACCCGGGGGCCGCAGTCGAAGACACGGACAGCGAAGACAATGGCGAATTTCGCCAAGTGCGAGGAAGAGTTCAGTTCGCGGATGGTTCTCGGGCATCTGCGCGAAGAGACGATGCTGGAATTGTAAGCGCACTTCCATCGACGTCGCCAGACCAATTCTCGGGGCCTAATGGGCACCGCACACGTATTTCATGGGGAGGGGAGAAAGGTCGCGAGAGTTGAAGTTATGCTGAAAGGAAGAGTAGAAAGCGAGCGCAAGCCAGGCGACAGCCCCTTGCGGTGTACAAAGCCGAGGAACAGGATCTAGAATCTTGTCTGTTATTACTCATCTTTCGACTCAGCATTGGCGCCGGGACGTTTGTGCATACGCCTATCTCGGTTGCTGTATATAGAGGGCGTACTTGACGTTGTGTAATGTTTGATTGATTCCCCTTTCCTGTTTTGTCGATTCTGGTGCATCGACTATTGAGTGGCTGGATATAGTCTTCTTAGCTTGCGTCCACTTTCAATAGTACTTGCCTGCACAATACCAATAGACGTACCATTTGGTCGTAATTATATGAGTCCACTTGCCTGATTGTCGTTGGTTGCCTTTGTCTTTCTCCATTGTTTGAACCTGGACACGTCGGCGTACAAAGTCCAGGACTCCTTGCATGACACAACAGATTACCAAAAGCTCAGCGTACTAAGTAGGTTTATCTCGTGCCTTTTTATATTAAAAAAAGATTCTCATGTCCCATTGCAAGTAGTCTTGATTTTGTTTTTAGTTAGCCTTTGCTACTTTGTAGACAACGATCATTTCTCAACTGCCGTAGTCTGAAGCAGAAGTCATAATACTCAATTTTAATGTGTCTAATCAAGACTGATGAATATTGGACAACTATCAATAGTCCTTTCAACGATTGAAGCACTCGACTAAGAGTATAGACGACCGTTTTAGAGGAGCAGAAAAAGTATCCGTACTCCGTAGTGCAATCCGATAATTGACAAGTCCCACCCACGGATGATCCCTCGCACAAATCAATTCCCCATGCAAAATCTCAAGTCGTGGCATTTATGAGAAGAGTACATAATATTGAGAGCAGTGGCAGAATAGCTGAAGAGCTCCCTTCTCAGACATGATGAGAATACAATGCATCTACACAGGACATCGTAGACCTGCTATCGCCGTCCTTGGTTTTCTTCCTCAGGCAAGCGCGCTATTTCCGTATGAAGAGTATCCCATTATGCATTCTTCTACTCTGCGGACTGCCTCGAGGCGACTCCTCAATGCACTCGAGACCCCACCACCCAGAGGCCACCAAAAGAGAGGAAGACATTTCCATAGCGCAGTCTCTTGCATGAGGAGTACCTACCTACCTCCTGCTTTGCGAATAAATTCTTGACCCGAATCGCGGAATGGCCAATTTCCATCAAGTACATCGCCCGTATCATTACATTGTCACTGACGCTCCTATTCAAATATACATGATATATCAAGTCCGAGGAAACACCACACACAGGGCACTGATCCTCCCATGTTCCGAGACGCGGAATCTACACATTTCATTTATTCGGAAGTAATCCTGGGCCTCCCAGTCCATCTCCAGGACCTTCCCCTCAACATCCACTACGCTGACTACCGGATTCCCAGCCCGCGATAGAGGAAGAAGTAACAGATCATGCTGTTTCCCAATCGTCGATTCTCCGGGAAGCAAAACGATGATGTATGCATCGCGATGAGGACGCTCGGGCAAGCCAGTACCCTTAAACCCGTCAGATTTCCGATTTCCCACTCGTCCAAAAATGAGGGGAAGCTACCGTTTGGTAATCTGCAACCAGCTCGCTCACCAGTGGCGAGCAGACAGGGTGTACGTCGAAGAGGACCGCCGAGAGCAAAGTCTGGCGGATCCCCATCATGCTTGAGATGACATGCTGTGCGGTTTGAGCGTGGGTTTTTAGGCTTTCGGGCAGGGCTCGTCGGGTAAGACCGCGCAGGCCGCTGCTTTCCATAATGCTGGTATAATGGCCAATATTGATAGGGTTTGGAGTGACGCTGTCGCGACTTGGTGAGGCCGTGTTGTGTTTAGTACTCTGTACTACTTCGCTACGTCATAGGTACCGCACGTCACATGGTGAGAACTGACTCATGGCAGACGGTGATTAATCATGGTATTACGCCCACTTAGAGAGGCATATAGTAGTGCATTAGCAAGAATGGTTTTTTGGACTATATATAGGCTTTTGCACAATTCAGTACAAATAATCATAGGGTGTGGAAACAGGGCTTCCCGTCTGCTCAACCGTACTTGAACCAGTATTATCAATATAATTGTCTGTTTACTATTATATTCTTTTCCTTCTATCTTATTTCATTTATGATCTATTTCTTACTATCAAGTCCAGCAACCAGTTTATGGGTGATTCCTATGGATAGTCCCCTCCATATACTCTATATAAGTCTTGTTATTAGCCTACTGTCTATAATTAATCTTAATAATAATGGAACTAAATACATAGTACCAATTAATAAGGGATATTCCCTTTATTCAATCAGAACCTAGTGAAGCTGCCAGCTGTGAGAGCTGAAGAGCATTTGGACGGCTGAAAACCGCAAGGTGCTTCTAATGTTTCTTGGGAGCAGCCTTCCTGATTGAAAGCATGGCGATTAATCTGATTCTTTTGTTCACTTCAGCAGAAGGGATTCATTTCCCGAACTCACCAGGTGGCTCCCTGGTGGTTATATGCGAGCGGCCAACGTCCTCGGTCGAGATGACCCATGGCATTCTCCAGCGAATAGCAGATCTAGCTCCTGGATCAACATACAGTTTCCTACTTCGGATATGCAAAGTGCTGGTAACTGTGTCTCCATGATCCATGACAAGCGTCACAGCCTTAATTGAATAATAGTTTTCCAATAAACCAACCTCTGCCTGTTCCGGTCTGCGTCTTGCCATTATCCCAGGAGCAGTGTTAGACATCAAAGTCCGTTATATGATTTGCTTGATGCACGGCCGAATGTTGAGACCAGACTTTTCTGCAGTTGCAAATTGTGTATTAGACTAGATTTCGTTTACGGAGGCGGTTGGAAGTACCTCAGGTTTAGTTGTCAATGTATATTTACGAACTTGGATCTAGCGAGCATGCTGATAAAGAGACTTGATCTGTAAACAAATGCATAACAGCAAATTTAATTACGTAAATCAAGCTGAGACATTCTTTTTTTAAAAGAGAGATAAGAAGGTTTCTCTACTTATTCTATCATTGAATTATGCCCACTCACACAGTTCGCTTTGGAGTGCAAACTGTGATGCTAGAGAGAGGATGGTTAATATCAAACCCAAATAGCTTTGCATAAAGCGGAACCGAGTGTTGACAGGTCCAGGGGAGAGTCCTGTTACATTCCTGTGCGCGTTATATTGCCGACAATGTTGACGACGGGTAAACCTGGATGATCGATTAATGATTCGTAGCCTGCTACTCGGAGGTACTTATTGCTTGAGCACTTACCCGATAGTAAGAATTGTGACTTAACAATGGTGTCATTCTGCTTGCTAGATATGTACAGTTTTGATTAAAAGTTATTCCATGATCTCTACAGCCCGCTTCGTCCATGCGATTGTGTCCGTCCACTCTGATGGTATTTCTTCCTTGAGAGAGGATATGATTCCTGACACTATGCGTCGTCCGGTAGTTTTGGCAAACCAGGTCCCTGAAAGGAGATGCATCCCCAGTCCATAGTGCAGAAATAAGACGCGCGCCGTCCAGTCACCATTCTGTAGCAAACAGATAAATGAGTCGCTGATGTGGATTGGCCAGGAGATGATACCGCCCCTAGGGCTTCCATGAGGCCATGGTTCGAGTGCCTCATGAAGCAGTTGATAGGTGTCTCTGTACTGTACTCTCTCCTATACAAGAATAGACATGGATATATGCCGCTCCCCGCAGTCGGCTCTGTAGATATGAGCCAAGAGTTGCTTGGCACTTACCTTATGATTATTGGCCACGTATCCGTATTTCAGCTGTGGGCCCAATCTCGTGCCTCCAATAGTAATCACTCACTAAGTGCCTACTAAGTACTAACCATACCTATCGGCTAGGCTATCCAATTTCTGATAGACTATGTCCTTAACCATAAACCCTAATTTCACGATTCGATTCCAAAAAGGCCGGACTCCGGATCACAGTCCAACCGGCCGGTTCGCGGAATCCGTGAAATCCGGGTCTAGCTACAGCAAGCCCGCAATATAATTCGGAATGTCGAGACCCCGGGTTCCTCGGAAACGGCATATTGAGACAGTCAGTGCACAGGAGACTTCCTAGTTAGAAGTTAGAACACAGTCTGACCTTGGTTATTTGCACATTGGGTTATAAGAATACCATTCCATCTCTCTTTTGCTTCATGTGTTAGTTTTTCAATCCTTCCATTAACGTTCCCAATAGGAGAGCAATGCCTGGTACGGTCATTGTGACGGGCGCTGCTGGCGGCCTTGGTCAAGCAATCGCGGAAAGAGTTGTGCAAGACCCTGAATCATATCACTGCCTGTTCACTGTCCGTAACAAAAACGCCCCTCGCGCGAAGAAGCTATATCAACTAGACGGCTCAAATGCCAAGGAGATCAGAACTCCTGAACTTGATCTCTCCAGCCTTCAGTCTATCCGAGCATTTGCCAGCGACCTAAATGCGAAAGTCAGATCTGGCACGCTCCCGCCTATCAGAGCGCTGATTCTCAATGCGGCTGTCTTTTCTGAGAAAGGCGGCCTCAAATTCACCGACGACGATGGCGACAAGAAGGGCTTCGAGATAAATTTCGCGGTGAATTACCTTGCAAATTTTCTCCTTACATTATTGTTGCTGGGAAGTCTAGATAAGGAGCATGGACGCATCGTTTACGTGTCGAGCTGGACGCATGACGCGGCACTGCCTGTCAATCAAGGGCATAAGCCCGAGAAGCTGCAGTGGGATCCAGTGCAACTGGCGCATCCGAAGGAAAAAGTCAGCCCAGGAGAGCAGGCAGATGATGCAATGAGACGATATGGCGCTTCGAAGCTATGCCAGGTTATGTTTATGTGAGTATACCTTTTTCGGCCAGGAAAAGTTAAAAAAAAGAAAAAAGAAAAAGGAATGCCTATGTTTTACTGACACTCACCACTTTCAGGCACGCCTTGCAAAAGCGCCTAGATAAGACACCTGGTCTGGAGAAAATCTGCATTCTCGGCGTTGACCCTGGCGGAATGCTCCATGAAAACCTAAACCACAAGCTTTCCGCATTTCAAAGATATGTATTAGCTCCCCCTGTCCGGATTTATACGAGACTTGCGGTCAATCTGTGGCCTAATGGAATGCTTCGCACCGTGGAGAAGTCTGCGGGTGATATTGTGAGGGCAGCACTATGCCTAGAAGATCCACAGCTAGGTCTATACCCCAAAGATGTCTACTTAAATGGCAGTGAGCTTGCTGAGTCTGCTGCCCTATCAAAGGACGAAGAACAACAGGAACTACTCTGGAAGTTGAGCCTTCAGTTCGCAAACCTGGATGAGAGCGAGACTGCTTTGGGTGGAGTAGCCGGTACAGCTTCCACGTAATTGGAGCCTTGCATCTTCATGGATTTATTGCTCAATTACATTTTCCTATTACCAAGCCAACTTTGTTCGGTTGGCTGCGTTCGAGGAACAATTACACCTTCCGAGACTTAGATTGACATTGAACGTCAGTGGACTTGGTCCTGTTACATCAACCTGGATAATCCATGTTTTACCTGGCGGAGAATCCCGCACGATCGGATCTAACTGAGATTTGGCAAAAGGACCATCGCGTAGCTACTGGTAAGGCAAAGGGAAGGCGAATTTTCGGGGCCCATGGATATAACGTCACTAAATTCACTAGGGATACTGCGTAGTGCGTACACATGCATATGCATATGCCATCGAGATAGGAATGATTGGCTGTCAAAACATGCCGCGGATACGTTCTTAGGACCCGACTGGGCCAGGTTTTGGGGCGCTATCGGACCTCCAGCGGCGAGGCTTAGGTAGCCTTGGGCCCTTGGCACATTTAGATGTTTATATAACCCCAGGATATTGCGAATTATCAGTCCAATACCAAATCGAGACGACGATGATTATTACCATTAGCCAAAGTTGGGCTAGTGAGTTGTGCTAACCATAAACCCCTCCTTAATGATAACCTCTATTAGGCAACACTCTCATCCCCGGTACTTAGCGGTCTACACCTGCATCGCAAAAACTAGCACGGAGCTCGCATTTATCATGGTCCTGAAAGACAATACTGCGAGCAGTTCGTATGGCGATAACAAAAGGTGCAGATCCTTGTACGAAGGGCGTTTGACCAGCAGCCGAGCATTTTTCGAAGACGCGTTATGCGGCCTTCTTCGTAGATGAGATCCTCTCCCTTACTAATTGTCGCCGGAATCTCATCGGCCCTCTCACTTCAGCATTCTATTCTTCGTTTTCCTGGCCTTGCGCCGGTCCCGCCATGGTGTTGACGTGGGCCACGGACGCATGCGACGATGGCCAGTTTGGGCCTATCGTCGCTACAGCGGACTGTCGTGGGGGTTTCGACTTCACTGTACTTTTCGAGTCAGATATCCTGAGCATCGTTCCAGCCGCTTGCTTCCTCGTTCTGGCATCTTTTCGTATGCTTCACTTGTTCAGACAGTCACGGAAGGTGTTCTCTTCCACACTTCGAGTGGTGACACTGGTGAGTAATCCCGCCTCCCACCTCCCACCTTCCTACTGCCCAAGGGAGGTTTCGATATGGACAGACCGAGCCTTCTAAGATTATCTTGCACTAGAGTGTCTCTGTGACTTTTGCAGCTATTCAGGTTGCATTACTTGTGCTTGTTGCGACACAGCACCCCGTTGGGGGGCGCACCCTTCTTGCAAGTGCCGTTCTCGACCTATTATCGGCGCTAGGTGTTATACTACTTCTTGACCTAGAGCACGTCCGCTCAATTCGGCCATCTTTTCTTGTCTCTGTGTATTTGTTGATCTCGCTGCTCCTTGATCTTGCGCGTGTGCGCACCGCCTGGCTGCTACCAGAGAATCAGGCCTACTCCGCCTTTCTTTCTACATCTTTGGCTGTCAAGCTAGTTCTCTTGGTGCTAGCCAGTGTTGAAAAGCAGAAATGGCTTCTATCAGCCGAGAAATTTTACTCCACTGAAAGTGTGAGCGGGCCTTTCACCCGAGGCTTATTTACCTGGCTGAATGGGCTGCTGTGGAGAGGACACTCCGCGTCACTGGCCGGGGATGACCTCCCCGCCGTTCACGAGAAGCTTTTGTCTTCGGAGTTGTCTGTCCGATTCGCAGATACATGGTCCCACTGCAACCAGACTGGACAAAATGCGTTACTTTGGGCCGTGATTAAGTGTCTGCGCTGGGAAATGGTAGCGATCGCCTTCCCGCGGCTTTGTGTTGTGGGATTCAGTATTGCGCAGCCATTTCTCATTGAGAAAGTGGTCAGTGTATTACATGGCCCTGATGTTTCCTCACTAAGCATCGGCTATGGCTTAATTGGGGCCACTGCAATTGTCTTTACCGGGATTGCTGTAAGCTAGTTGCCATCTCGTCGCACTGCTGGAAGTAACACGGACATTCCGTTGCAGATTTCTAGAGCTTCCTATGAGCACCTGGGATATCGTGCTGTGACAATGATCCGGGGCGGTCTGATGAGTCTCGTCTTCCGGCATATGATGGATCTACCACTGGGGAGCACAGACGAATCCAGTGCCATGTCGCTTATGGGCTCTGACATAGAGATGCTGGCCGAATATTTTTATTCAGTTGTCTGTGAAACTTGGGCAAATATTCTTCAGTTAGCACTGGCTACATGGTTGCTAGAAACCCAGGTCGGTGCGGTCTGCATCGCTCCAATTTTGGTAGTGATAGGTGAGTCTTGTCCATTTCCCCAACCAACACCCCGTCTTTTCCTTCATCTGACAAGTTCAAATCAGTATTCACGGCTTCGTCCTTCGCTATGGGTAACGCTGTTTCCACTCGGCAAAAAGAATGGCTTCGGGCTACCGAAAAGCGGATCAACTTCACAACTTCCATCCTGGGTTCTATTCGCAACGTCAAGTTTCTCGGCTTAGCCGAGATAATGCGTTCCAAGATCGAAGCATTGCGCATCGAGGAGCTTGAAGTCTCCAAGAAGTTCCGCCGGATCCAGTCAATTCGTGTCTGCATGAGTGCGTGCTTACATTCGTTTCTGTCCCGAGTCAACTGTCGTTGCATGAATAGCCCCTGATCGTACTGATACTTGATCCCAGTCAACTCCCCTATAATCATCGGTCAGCTTGCGACACTGGCTGCCTATGCGATAGTAGCATTGTTGCAGGACTCTGGGGGCCTTGCCGTCAACCAAGCCATCACCTCGTTGTCGCTTATTAGTTTGATGATCACACCACTGAGCTACCTCTTGTTGGCGATTCCAGACACATTTGCTTCAACAGGTTGCCTGCATAGAATCCAGGACTTTCTTAAGAACCAGAATCGCCTTGGTGAGAGCTCCAATCCCCGGCCATAACATGTGTGATTGTGCTCCGGGTTTTCCGGATCCTGAACCAGACTCTTAGTTTCTCCACGTGAGCTAATAAGACTATACTTTCCATAGAGAAGAGACAGCTTCCTGAGTCCTTGTCGACTCAATCCACATCATTCAGCAACATCTCTGGTATTGAGCTGTCTCCTCTCTCACAGCATCCACACAGCGAGAAAGGTGTGGTCCTATCTCTACAAAATGTCAGATTTGGCTGGAAATCCCCCTATGTACCAGAGACAAATGGTATCACACTTACACTTAAGGATGCCCCTTCTGGTAATCTTGTCATCCTTGTCGGTCCAGTCGGCTGCGGTAAGTCTACTTCCTTAAGGGTCTGGCAGGTGAGACGCCGGTGTTGGAAGGGGAGCTCTTCGTGAGGTACCCAGACTTGGCCTTCTGTGAGGAGACACCATGGCTATCCAATTCTTCAATACGGAGTAATATAGTTGGTCAAGATTCATCGCCTACTTACGATCCTGACTGGTATCGCACTGTTCTAAGCGCATGTGCACTGGATTTGGATCTTAAGAAGATGCCGGCGAGCGACGAAACACTCGTCGGCAGTAAAGGCTCTAAGCTGAGTGGAGGTCAGAGACAAAGAATCGTGAGTGATCAGCCTTGTCTATACTCCCAGAAGATTGGGCCTCTAAAGTAAATCCTGGCGTGTATAGGCTATCGCACGAGCGGTCTATGCTCGCAAACGTATTGCTTGCTTTGACGACGTTCTAAGTGGCCTGGACAATTCCACAGCCCGAACTGTATTTAACAACGTCTTTGGCTCGGCTGGGCTCCTGCGTCAGTTGGGGAGTACTGTATTCTTGGCTACTCACAGCAGTATGTGTATCTCACTCGCAGGCTACCGACTTGGCTAACCGTATTTCAGCCTATTGTTTACCCCAGGCTGACTTGATCATGGTCCTCGGGGACAATGGCCAGGTGATCAAACGAGGCAGCTATGCCCAACTTCGAGACGACATTGATGGCTTCATTCATGTGAATGATACTCAACCCACACAAGCAGATGAGCCGGAGGAAGGCGACAAGCCAACAGATGTGTCTCCGACTCCCACCTCAGACAATTCTAATGCTTGTCCTTCCGAAGATGGCAGTCGACAGACAACTGAGCTGGCCGTATACAAGTATTATTTTTCAGCGCTGGGTTGGTCACGAATTGCTGCGTGGCTTCTCTTCCTCATTACAGAAGCCGGTATGAGCGGATTCCGGTGTAAGTTATAACGAGATCCCCGACCGGTACATTATTGATCGCGACGGCATGAGACTCACTCTTTCCAAGATGTATGGGTCAGCCTTTGGTCCTCCAGCAGCGACCGTACTTCGCGCCTAGGCTACTGGCTTGGACTGTATGGAGCATTCTCTGTTGTCCAAGCCCTTGCGCTTGTACTTGCCGTATTGTGTGTTCAATATCTCTCTTCGATCATCCGTGTCTTTGATGACCTCTCTAACCTGGTAATAGCTGGACATGGGTCATCATTGTCCCATTTGCCTCCAAGAACCTTCACACAACCGTGCTGCGCACTTGCATGGGGTAAGTATTTCTAAATACGCCCTGCGATAATTGGCTAATAACTTTAGTGCCCCCTTGTCCTTTTTGTCAAACCTCGAGACTGGAGTTCTAGTGACCCGTTTCAGTCAGGACATGAGGCTAGTTGACATGATTCTGCCTCGAGGTTTCATATCTACAGGGTTCCGTAAGCGCAGCAATGAGACTTGGAAGACAAACTGGACAATCATCTAACTTCATTGGCCTCTAGAGTTTTTCGGAGCTATTGCCCAAGGCGCCACTGCCATAGCCTCATTGCCCCATTTGGCAGCGGCTTTGCCCCTTCTCTTTGGAGTTTTGTATCTGATCCAGAGGTTTTATCTCGAGACGTCCCGACAGCTGCGGCTGCTAGAGTAGGTTGCTCTTATACGCTTTTCTTACGTTGATCTGCTTGATTTAGTTTGATTCTTCGATTCATAAACTAATGCAAACCATCTACAGAATTGAGCTCAAGAGCCCTCTTTACACCCATTTTATCGAGTCACTGGCAGGAGTCACCACTATTCGCGCCTTTGCCTGGACTCATGCTACGACAAACCGAATGCTTTCTTTGCTAGACACCGCCCATCGGCCCTACTACCTTCTCCTGTGTATCCAGCGCTGGCTGAGTCTCGTGCTCAATCTGATTGTGGCCGGCATAACAGTCCTTCTTGTCGGAGCGTCTGTCGCTCTTCGCTCTCATCTGGACCCAGGACTTCTGGGAATTGCCCTTGTAATGATGATGGATCTGGGACTCGTTCTATCAGCGCTTATTCAAAACTGGACGTTGTTTGAAACATCACTGGGGGCCATTTCACGCATCAAAGACTTTGCCGAGGAGACTCCTCTTGAAGAGAGTAACATGGCCATTCAGACTCATGATGGCCTCTCTGAATGGCCGATGAGCCCTGTGCTTGAATTCGTAGACGCAGGAATTGCTTGGGATATTGGTGACAAGAAGCCTTTACTCAACGGCATTAACCTTCGAATTGCAGCCGGACAGAAGTTCGGTCTGTGTGGCAGAACCGGAAGGTGAGCTCAACTCCCATTGTGTCCTCAACATATTTTCTTTTCAGAGCGAAGCACCGGCCTGACACATTACTACGAATTAGTGGCAAGAGTACATTGGCACTATCCCTCCTCCGTCTCAACGAGCTGGTATCCGGCCAAATTCTCATCGATGGACAAGATATCTCGTTGATGACCAGATCATCAATCCGACAACGCATTAGCTGTCTCAGCCAAGAACCTTTCATTTTCCCCGGTACCGTCAGGGAAAATGCCGATCCACTGGGCAAAGTTTCGAACACGCAGATTGTTGATGCCCTGCAATCTGTGGGGGTCTGGAGCATCCTTGCAGCAAGCCACAGTAGCACCGACGAAGAGGTGCTGGCGTCAAGACTAGATGAAAGCATTCTATCGCAGGGCCAAAAGCAGCTTTTCTGTCTGGCCAGAGCTCTGCTGAAGAGGAGCAAAATCTTGATTTTGGATGAACCAACGAGCAGGTACGTTCACGAGTTACTGCGCCCTATTTCTCATTCCATCCATTGCTTGAAAGCTGACAAGGGGACCATGTAGCCTGGACCCTGAAACGGATGCCAAAGTGCAGAATGTCATACGGGAGTTGTTCAATGGCTGCACGATCATCATGGTGGCGCATAGGATCCACACATTGCTTGACTTCGATCAAGTTGCTGTTCTGAACAGTGGTCAGATCGCGGAGGTGGGACATCCTCGTGATTTACTCAATAATCCCACTGGGGAATTTTCGAAGCTGTTGAACCTCGAGTCGTGACATTTAAGGCTCTAGGGCATTGCTTTCTGGTTTTTTCTGTTGCGACTGGATATAAACACGTAATAGATATTCACTTTCAAAAACTGGAAAGCCCAGTCATATTATATGTTTGGAGAAAATGAGCAATGCCACTAACCCTACTCACTCTGGACATGATCTGAAACAGCTGGAGGCGTTTCGTTGTGCTCCTCTACGCCAATTTTCTTCCAAGCGAAGCCAAAGCTCAGCAAGGCAGCCACAGCAGCAGTGGCTGTGGGGAGAAACTATGGCGGTAGGTCAGTCAGCGTTGAATACTTCAGACTACAGGTAACCTAGAAACAATAGCACTTACAAAGACCTTGACCAATGCTTCATTATACGCGAATTGAACTCCGGGGAGCTGGTCAGCAGGTAAAACATCGGCATATCCTGTAGCGCCAGCATGCAGGATGATTGCTGGATCAACATTGGGCGCGTACATTTCCAGAGCTGGCGTCAAGCGATTCTGGAAGATAGCCTGCGCCACGGAGATGGCAACGGACCCAGTCAGATATTGACACAGAGCAATAGCAGAACTGGCAATAGCAATGGAGTCGCGGCTTAGATATTCTTGGCTGGCGACGATGGGCTAGAGAAATGCTGTCAGGGCCGTGCATTATGTTAGGTTTCGTCCAGGCACCAACTACTAACCATGTTCAACGCTGCACCCCGTCCGAACCCCGCGATGATCTGATAACCGATCCACTTTCCCTTGCTTGTATCTGCTGTGAATGTGGTAATGAGTCCGGATCCGACTGCTGTCATCACACTACCAATGATTGCCCAAGGGGGAACGTAATGGAGCTTGCGAACTGCGGAAACAAGTTAGCATTCGAAGTCTTGTTTTCAAAGAGAGATTGGATTCCGTTTACCGAGTGCGCCCGACGTCATTGAACCTAGGATCTGACTTATCATTGTCGGCAGCATCATGAGGCCACTATCGGTCGGCGAGGCTCCCTTGACAGCCTGAAACCACAAAGGTAGGTAGTAGCCCACCATGATGGTGGCACCACCTTGCAGACCGGAGATTCAGCAGCCAAAGAAAAGATTTCGCTCTCGAAGAATATGAGGTGGAATTAAGGCTTCATCACCCCGATGGATAGCCCATGTGATGAAGAGTGCCAGTATACCACCACTTCCACAGAGAAGCCCAATCACTTTTGCCGAGCTCCAGGGGTAGGTTGCTCCGCCCCAATTGATGGCAGTCAGAAACATGGTACAGGCGATGGCGAAGAGGGCAAAGCCCAAGAGATCGAGCTTTCTGGGGAGTTTGACGAGAACAGAGCTCATTGGTGGCTTGGTAGCTTGCTCGGGGACGCGGAGAACAAGCATAACGAGCATGGTGGCGCCACCAAATGGGAGAAAAACCCAAAAGCCTAGGCATCGGCACTCGCCGGTTAGTCTTTCATAACGCACGCGCAATACGACCGACCCTGAATGAATCTAAAATATATAAATCTGAGGAGCAAGACAAAGAAAGACTTACACTAATGCTGGCTGACATGCTTGGTAAAGGCACCCCCAATCAGTGGGCTAATAATACCCCCTATTGTGATCATAGAGATTCCACAAGCTGTTACAAGAGGTCGAATCTTGGGAGGCGAGCACGCTGTCAGAATAATGACTGCTCCATTGAAAAGGCCTGAAGCCCCCAACCCTGCAACAGTCCGGCCAGCGATGACCATGTTGCTTGACGTTGAGAGAGCACAGATGAGATTTCCGAGCTCAAAGATGGTTATAAAACCGACATACAGGTACTTTTGGAGGAGACGAGTAGGGAACATACTTTCAAAGGGAATAAAGTATATATCTTGCCTGCAAGCGGTTGCGTTGCACATCTGACCAGTCAGTGTCAGAACACTAAGTAATATGAACACAGAACTTCGGAGGGGCATCTTACAAAGCCAGAAGGAAGGCCGAACCGTACCAGTTCACGTCCTCAAAACTGTCAAAGTAGTTCGAGATTGTAGGAACGGCCTAGCGTTATTGCATCTGTGTTTAGCAACCCTACCACAGCAAAGACAGTACGAACGCATCTGCTTCTATGGAAACCCACTGTTGCGACCACATTGATATCCAGGCCCAGGAGAAGCATTCCCACAATTAGAGCTGTGATGAGATTATACAAAGGAATCCCCCTGAGATAGGGATATCGAGAACCCGATTCATCAGGACCGCTGACCGATGCTGGTCCACGAAATGCATGGCTTTGAGCGTCAGACACCTTCTCCGTGTCCAGTGGGCGTCCAGCTTCAGCGGCACTTTCGAGCGCACAGACTGACATGACTGACTTGAATGTGTACTGTTGTCTAATCAAGGAAGATTTGCGAGAGGCACGGAAAAGAATTGAGGGCCTTGGGGAGAAATGAAGAGATGGGGGTGAGGTGAGGCCGCGTGGGAAAGGGGGAGGTTCCAAGGACGTTTTTATAACAGGACAGGCATGCAGCATAATCAGAATATTAATATCACCACAGCTGATAACTCATTATCCCGAAAGCGATCATTGAGAGTGTCACAGTCTCACAGATCCCACCAGCCCTGGTTGTGTTCCACTAGGAAATCAGAGAACAGATTCCGCATAGTGACCATTCACAGGAGCATTCAAGGTCAGTGAACCACCCATGTTTGTTGAAGCAGAGATCCTACGTGTAAATCAGCTATTTTGCCCATTCTGAAAACCCCCAGGCCAGTGGGATTCATATTTACCTTCCCATAGAGGATATTCCCCGATCAGGCTAAGCACCGCATAAATCCAATTTTGGACGCTCATTCGTTTGCGCTATGCATACTTTGGTGCATATTTTAGTGCTTAATTAGTAGGGGCTGATTATTGAGAATCATCAACAGTACATAGAATGGTTGTTATAATTTCGTTCTTAGATAGATAGCACTTCCTTAACTTGACTATCTCTCGTCTGTGCCGCTACGTCCTCATTAGCACCTTGGCACCAAAAGGCAATAAAAGTCAACAAATACAGGGCATACAGCTATTATTATTCTGCAGGCACTTCCTAGGCGGTGTGGATTTCAATTCATCCTGAGAAGTTGTTGAACATCGAGGAGGGTAGCTGACAGGCTGGGTTGCTTTCGTGCAAGGCCGAGGCAATTCGAGGTCCAGGCAGGTGGAGTCGGATGAATTTATGGCTTATCTTCCGTTCAAAAGCAAAATTCTTTTCTGAAGAGAAACAATGTCCATGCAACCGTTGTTCATTGCGCAAGGGAAATGAGTATGGCTAGAGAGGATAGGATAGAATGGATAGTGAACAAGAAATGATGATGATGAATAATTATGCAGAAGAAAGGCTGTATGAAAGGATCAAGAAAATAAAGGTCAAGAAAAGGGGCAAAGATGCATATGTGGTGTAGTAGAATGCTGAACCATGCCAAACCAGCCCACGGCTTATTTTACCTTTCCAGATTCCCTGCAACACCAAACACCGCTTATATAACAAAGCCAAGCCCAAAGATGCGGAAGAAGAGACGAAGATTGTAAATTCGAAGAAGAGAGAATAGAAACGAGTGATCGCCGTCAAGGAGGGTATCAGGGGAAGGGGGTATCTCAAGCAACAGTTCAGATGTCGCGACTTTAGTTCATTTCCTTTCCTCGAGCAGTCTATATGCACGTTTGCATCACAAAACGCCGCCGGGTAGGTTGATCTGGCCTTGTCTGCCCTCGAAGCCTGCGCTATTGGGGGCAGAGCCTCCGCTGGTGTAGGCATTGTCAATGGGATGCAGCTGTTTTCGTAGCATAAACATCGGTTTTCTTCCCTCCTTCTCGAGTTGCTTGAAGAGAATAAGCGGCCGCTCCTCAAGTCCTAGACATCGCTCTTGATCACCGTACACAATGTACAATGCATACTGCTTCCAGTCGGCATTGATATTGTATTTTTTGAGTGCGGCGGGAAGAACCTTATGACAAGGGTCATCCATCGAAACACGGAATGACTTGAAGATTTCGACACTAGGTGGATCTGCACCCGCTCGGGAATCGGACCGTGTGGGAACATCAGGGCGTGACGCTTGTGTCGGGGTTGGATTCAACCGATCGGGACGTGATTGTGCCGTCGGAGTATCTTCCGGATGATCATAGCCTGTGCGACCCGAATTCGGTTGTGTGTAAGAACGTGATGCAAGCGTCTGATGAGCACCGTAGTGAGCACCAGGAGACGTCGGCGATGGCATGCCCGGTGACAACTGTGGTTTGCCATTCAAGGCGCTCAAGTGGGACGAATTCGCGGCGGCAGAAGGGTCCAGTCCACCGTTGTCGTTGTACGGTCGTCCTTCGTGTATCGATGGAGGAATATGCGTAGGCGAGTTGTTTTTCGGTGTGGAACCCCCAGTGTAGACGCGTTTGGAGAAAGTCCGAGAGATTCCGGACGCTGCACGCTCAATCAAGGTGTTTCCGGAGGGCGACACGAGGGTTTGGCCTTCGTAGTGGCCATCGGCTACTGGGCCCGCCGATGATGGAGGGGGCAGTGGTTGTGATCGATCCTTGGCCATTTTGAAGACAGGAAGAAGCTCTTCGCGAAGCCGACGATACTCCTCTGCAACGCGCCGCAATTCAGATTCAACGCTGACGATCTTTTCATCCCGTAACCGGATCGATTGTATCAAACGAGCAATATCCTCTTGTGTGGCCGTTTCGTTCATGCTTTGGTCCGCCGCTGCAGGACAGTTAGAACAAACACCCACATCAGCATGGAAGGATACCTACAAAGGGGTATGTAATGGTCGGGGTCGAGAGGAATGTCTTGCTTGACTTTAGTCTCATATACACTTTTCAGAATGGTCAATCGGTGCCCGACGCTGGTGATTCCCATCTCTTTCAATTCCTCGTGTTTGAGCGCAATCAGTGCTTCGCCGACGATTCCGTTCTCTACAACGAGTAAGCAGGTTAGTGGCTTTCCCCACGGTCCAGAACCCTGTCTAATGGTCCCAATTGTTCTGTTAGACGGCCAACTTACCAAGAAAAGTTGCGCAGTACTGACGGAGGCCGAGCGCCGCAAGCCAGTTTGCGCATTCCTCAGCGGTCCACTCTGTGATGATAGTCTTCGGTGATCGAGGGTCTTCCTCAGGGTTTGCAAATGTCCTAGGCGTGTGTTCGGCTGAAGGGAATTCGGAGTCGGAGGGAGAGGCCTCGGAGTCAGTCGCTAGATGAGGGGAGGTAATCACACTCCGTTCGTACTCATCATCCGCGTCGGAGTCCGCGTGATAGGATGTATGGAGAGACATGTCTATGGAAGGAAGCTGAAGAGCCGACAATGACGTCCACAGGAGCGAAGAGGAATGGGGTGGACGTCGGCGCAGAGGAGCGTCGGCTCTGCAGCAACACTACTGTGAAGAGTGACTGCAAAATGAGCAGACGGTGTGCATAGAGTATGAGACAGTATCTGGTTTGTTTTATACGATTGCAGTCGAGGTCATTCAGAGTTGCGATTAAGCGAGGTCGGGGGTTGGCAGGTGAGCCAAGCAGGTAAGCCACATGGACGGGGAACAATGGCGGTTAGAGGCAACGAGAAACCGTCGAGATGCGGAGACGGAGGGGAAGGGAGGTAGGTATCCTGAAGGCCAGCGACTGAACTAAGGTCCCTCGTTAGATAGTTGTATGTCGAGATAGCGGATCTCGTCACGACGAGAGGTATAGTCGAGGTTGGGACCGAAGAATATGTTCCTGAGGCCACCAAGGCAGTAGTGGTTGGAGGAGCGGGGGAAGCAGCGGATCTTCTCCAAAACGGGAAGAAGAGTAAATTAACAGAAGAATGGTATTTATTCCACGAGCAAGAATTGAGGAAGAAGGCGAAGAGGAGGGAACCTCAAGGAAGGGGAATAAATAAAAATAGAGAGTGATGATAGTTTCTTCCTCGAGTATGTACCTAAGACCTAAGGAACAATCTAACTACCTAATGGAAGTACCTGATCTGGACATGGAGTAACTCTTTTTTCTTCCTTGCTAAGGCACCTTATTAATGACCAATCCGAAAAAGGAGTGGCACTGGTCAGCGCTTCTAAAGTTGGACCTTTGCACGTGACCCTGGTCTGGACCCCCTTACTTCTTAATAGTTGTTCCCGACTGAGGACGATGCCACCGATGACGGTGATGATTGACAACTAACTACCGTACTCTTGCTGGATGACTCATTTAAGCGTGGTCTCGCTACCAAGTTCCGAGTCTGAGTATATCACATTCTCCATGAACTACCCCGTATGCTGCCAGGTGGTTTACTCGTAAAAATATCCCTTCTTCGACTCAGGTCTGTCCAGTATCCTAGTCGTTGATCATTAGTACCTTGGATCAGTCCACCAGAAAAGGGGAAAGTAAGCTATCAACGGCCTCGATGAACTAGTGATCAATTTGCACCATCAACGATCATTGCACAAGTCCAGCTACTACTATATTATCTTGTCCCAGTCATCCCCAATTATCCAGTCTAGTCTCCATCAGTACGCAGGGGCAAAAGTCTACTGCGTTGATGGTATCCACCGAGTATAAAATCTTCAATAATGCTCAATGTTATTCATGATAGGCGCTGTCAAAAATCAATAGTGCCGGGGACCTGTACATTTTGGGCCTAAAAGAGTCCGAATGCTCCGCTATCATCGTGCTAACAATTACATTTCTATTCTGGGCTATTCTCTGATGCCTTTTTGCTTGACCTTTTTGACTATTGAATCTCTTTCGTGCGCTAATTGACTACAGAGCAGGTTCGGTCCGGCATGAATTGATAATTGGTCTTGGTCTTTGGTTGGCAGAGCTCGACATCTCTGCACTCCGGGCAGTATCTAGCGCAGAGTACAGATGAACCAGCAGTTCGCGACTTCGCCTAGTCAGCGGTCTAATCCTTTTCCAGCCTAATTGGTACCTTAGATTCCTCCCTAAAGACCAAGATATTGTGATATCAACCATGGCAGGCGTCGCATGAGCATGTGGTGCGCCTTGGCCGTCAACTGGCAAGAGTCAAAAGCAGCATGATGTATATTTTGTTGCTCGTTATTGAACCAGATCTTCTATTCATTCATAATGTCCCCAACAAAAGCAAAGAAGCTCCATTACAGTCCTTCAATCTACCTTTAACTTTCCATTGACTCGATCAATAACAATGACCTGCGCAATAGATGTATTGTCCATAAAAAGTTCAATGCAACTGATATCCACTCTGGCGCTTGGGTCCGTTCAAAGCGCCAACGACGAATGGACAATGCACACAGCTTCTGGAGTGTATAATTGTCAATCCGTTGATACTTGAAAGCTACTGTTTTAATGCTTATCCTCAGAGTGCAGAAATG